GTGTGTGTGTGTGTGTGTGTGTGTGTGTGTGTGTGTGTCCGGAGTTTGACTCTTCAGTGCGCAAAGAGCAGAAGAGGAAAAAGTTGGCGCAGTCTTTACGCGCGGTGGACGCCACAGAATCCGGCCTCACTTCGGTTTCTCCGGTGGATCCAGGTGTGACTCCGGATCCGTGAGGCGGTGGTCCTCACTGTCACAGCCGAGCGCGTCCCCGTCACACGTTTCCCTCAGCAGGGGACACCCACCAGACTGGTGCGCGCTCCCGCCTCCGGGACAATGGAGCAGCTTCCTGGGAGCCGACAACAGCGACCTCTAGTGGGCGTGAGTTCACAACTCCCCGTGGTCACGTTCAATCATTTACTTCACAATAATCATCTTTAAAGTTCTGATTCATTCAGAATAAACTCAACAGAGATTCAGTCCAACATGAACTCGTCCTCCAGATGTTGAGGATTTATTTACTGTTTCAATGGTTTAAAGAACTTTGTGTTTTAATAGTTTTTTAACTGTCAAAGTTTAAAGACTGAAACAAAACCAACATCCAGAGTTTAATGACGTGACTGTTTTCTTGATGAGAGGATGGAGGAGGACAAAATGAACTGAAGTTCCATCGTTTGGCTGAAACCTTCTCGACCTCACAGATCATTTATTCCTTCACGTCTCCAAGTCCATAAAAAGAACTGATCCCAGCGAGAGAGAAATGTTTTTACTGCCGAGAGACAGAAACAGAGCGATGAAGAGAAAAACGAGGTTTGTGTTTACGCTCAACAGTTTCACTGTGTTTGTTTTACTCCTTCTCTCCATCTGTGGCTCTTTTCTCAAAGCTGTTAATGTTGTTTGCATTTATAGACTTTGCTTTTACTCGTCATCTGTTTACAGCTAATATCAGAGAGAGAGAGAGAGAGAGGGAGAGAGAGGCCAATAAAACCCTGTGACTGTGGGAAAACTGAGAGAAAGATACATGAAAAGTTTGATTTGACTTATTTACCAGTAAGAGAAGTTAAAGTTGTATTCTACCTTTTCATTTTCCAGACGATATGAAAATGAACTGAAAGAAACAAAGCAGATAAAATGGAAAAAGTTTGTTAAGTTTGAGGTTTTCAGTATTTGAGACATTTCATTAAGTTTAAAGAGTAAATGCTGAATGTTGTTTGCAGCGACTGAGCGGACGATAAGAGACGGAGCGAGGGACAAAGTGGACAGCTGCAGGAGCTGAAGTGTGTTTGACGGTTGACTGGTTTTTATTGGTGGCTCCTGTAGAAAGGTCGACCTCTCTGACCTTTAGTTTAAACTCTGCTGAGCATCTTCATCAATGTTTAGAAAGACGATAAAGATTCTCCCTCATTTTAATTTAATTCCAACTTCTTATTTAGCACATTTAATATCTCTGGTCTTATCACCTGGACGTGATGCTGCTGTGTTAGTGTTAATTATGTTTTTGTGATTACTGCAGCAAACAAAGAATCAGATGAAGTTTTCAAATCACTTTGTATTTTAGAGTCGAACATTTTTACAAAACATTAAACTCAGATTCAAAAGCAAAATGAAACATGACAGAACATTTCGTCCATTTCCTTTTCAACCTTTTGCTTTGTGAGCTGAAGCAGCGGCACGAACCAATCATGTGTTAGTGAAACAATAATAATAATAATAATAATGAGGACTAGTCTGAGTTTTAGCCAATCAAAGCACTTTATTGCACTGTATAGTGTGACGGTGAGCCAATAGCAGGCTCTTATAAAAGTGTCATTTAATCTTTTTATCATGTGTACAAAACAAGTCACACACACTTGTACCGTACAAAATCAACACTATTTACATACAATATACACACACACACACATCTAACACACTCACACACACACCATGCAGTCTCTCTCCCATCCGACCCTGAACACACTGACGAGTCCTCCGGGTGTCTGATGGGATTTCCCTCTTACCCCCCCCCCCATCCTCTGCCACACACACACACACACACAGGGACTGAAACATGGCCGCTACGCTGCTACCAACAAACCCAAACTGCTAAAACAGCCAAACAAGCGCAATAAGCAACTTCTGATATGCATAAAGTTATTTTTTCTTCTTCTTCTGAAAAAAAAAAAAAAAAAAAAAGATGGTTAAAGACGAGGCGACGGAACGAACGTGAGACGAGAAACAAAGAAGATGAGATGACGTCGTGAACCTTTATCCACAGGAGGATGTAAACAAACGATGCACTGTTGGATTCTTCATTAACCTGCAGCGACAACAACAGTGCTGATGATTCTGAGAGATCACAGCCACTAAACTCTTCCCCTAAAACTTTTCATATATAGTTTTTTTTTTAATTCTCTTAAATGATCTGTACCAAAGCCCAGAGGACGTTCACGTCACCGAGAGATTCTTCTGTGCAAACGGGTGAAATTAGATCCCAGGTTTCATTTCATGTTTCTTTTCCAGGAAGACGGTAAAAGTTCTTCTTTGCTCAAAACTACACGACGTGAACTCAAGTTTGAGATAAAACAACAATTGAGACTTGTGTGTTTCTGCTGTTCAGTAAATAAAAGACTGAAATCTGTCTGATGTTTTGCCGCAGATTCTCATTTTAAATCGTCCGTTAATGGGTCGAAGCCTAAATATTGAGATGCATAGGTGTACACGAAGAAATAAAAGCACGTGTGGCTGCTCAGCCACAGAGCTGAAGCAGAGTTTGTTTCTTTTACTCGGGCTTCTGATCCGACAGCCAAACTTCAGACGTGTCGACAAACACGAGAATTAAACTTTGGAATCGGTATAAACTCTGGTCTGTCAATCAATCGTCTCAGAGTCTCATCCTCTGCAGCTCGTTTGGAGACGACGACCTCTGACCTCTGACCTCGGCAGCGAGGAACGTCCTCGTGGGCGTTATTGCTACAACAGGAGCTTTTCTCTGTAAACTTGTTCCCTTTGTACCGAACGGCCTCCAGACGCTGCTGCATTAAACTCTGCATCTGGATTCACACAGCGGCTCCGAAGGCCTCACTCCGACAAACGCCGCGCCTGGATTCGGAACAGAGCCGTTTCCTCGGCTGCGTTAACGACGACGCTTCAGCTTCGATTCATTACGACGTTAACTCCCTTTAAATAGTAATAATACTCTTTATCTTGTATTTACACACACACACACACACACACACACACACAGTGCACGTTGATGCTTTGGATGTTTGAGGGACGGGACTCCACATTAACTCTGATGATCACAAGAAAAACATGTTTCTTTCTTTCAGCTTCTGAACCAGATTTAGAAAAGTTGCATTCGGTGATTTTAGAGCCAGTAACTTGTTTCACTGCGACACTGAAAACTAAAATCTGTTTTTTTTTTTCCTTTTTTTTTTTAAAACCTGTATAAAAATGTTTCATATTTGATCGTCGAAGGATTAAAATCTGTTTGAAATCAGCGTTGAATTCACATTGAAACTGGTAAAACGTCCCTGTCACACATCAACACAACGAGATGAACGCACACACACACACACACTCTCACACTCACACACACACACACTCACACACACACACACACTCACTCACACTCACACACACACAGGGTGCAGGTGGAGAGAGCTGCATATAGGGGCTACTATACCTCTTTGTGTTTTAGGTACCTCTCCATATAGATTATTATGTCTATGTACAATATTTATATTTTTACAGAAATCTGGCCGCCCCTCGTCTAATTGAAATAAAACCACAGATCTGGGATTTCTCTGTTGGACCAGTAAGACGTGATGTCACAGACTCTACTGTTTCCCTCTCTCTCTCTCTCTCTCTCTCTCTCTTCCTCCTGCAGACGACACGGAGCGTGACGACCGACACAGTGTTTCCCCTAAGGCTTTCTGCAGTGACGAGCTCCTGGTGACGGTCACGAGACTGAGCGGGGGGGTGTAAAAATGGTCATAACACCACTGAGCAATCAATCAACCAATCAACCAATCAATCAATCAATCAATCAATCAATCAATCAACCAATCAATCAATCAACCAATCAATCAACCAATCGACCGGCACAACACGACTGTAAAGAAAACGGACGACACCATATCCAGGTTCAAAAATACAGTACATCTTGATTTTGGGAAATGAATGAACAACGGCGAGATGCACGGCATACAAACACATGCTCGCTCTCTCTCTCTCTCACACACACACACACACACTCACACTCACACACTCAGGCTACATGTTGTAGGCCACGTAGATGGGGTCTAGCTGGTCTTGTAAGAAGCCGTCGCGGAGGTGCATGCGCTGTTTCTCGCCGCGAGAGTTGATAGGGATGACCCCGATGTCCGTCACCACGACCACGCCCACGATCAGGTAGTGCTCCTCCAGCACCGCCTTGGTCACCATGGGAACCAGGTCCAGGGCTTCCTGCTCGGAGCCCTCCAGCTCCACCACCACCACCAGCAGGTTGGTCCAGGGGAAGACGGCGCTGAGGACAGAATAATCACACGTCACTTTGTCTCTCGGAGCCCCGAGTGAAAGCAGGAGCCGAGGCTCGTGAGCTCCTGAGAGCAGCGGGGACGTACCACTCCATGATGCTCTTGTGCGCTCGTATGACGGAGGTCTCGATGTCGATGGGATGGTATCTCATCCCTCGCAGCTCCATGGCCTCCTCCAGAGCTCCCACCACGAACAGAGCGTCGTGTCTCTCTGCTCACAGACACAACCAGAGTTTCAGTTTCTGGGGACAAAGGTTCACGAAAGGGACAGAAGTAAAACTGACCTCCGTTGGCGTCTGTGAGCTCGGTGCGGCGGAGGAAACCCAGATAACCCGTCCTGGCCCAGACCGTCTGAGTGTCGCCAAAACTGAGTCTGGAGCTGAAGTGGTCAGACTGGAGAACCTCCTCGCCGTACCCGCTGTAGTAACCGCTGCCGTTATGAGCGCTATGCACCCAAATCTGCACGAGAGGAAAGAGACCGTAAAGAAAAATCTGCTGCAGAGAGAGTTTATCTCAAGTGTTTCTAAAGTGGAAGACGTCATCACGGAGGTGCAGATAAAACACCTTCACCACTAAAACCTCCAGAGACAGAATCAAGAGAACCGAAAGAAACGAAAGAGGAACAAAAGATATGAAAGAGAACGGAAATCAAATGTGACAAGAGAAGATAAAGAGGAAACATGCGCTGACCTCTCCGAGGTGCGAGTCTCCCAGAGGTCCCTTCGTCTCTGGGTTGGCGATAATGATTCGAACTCCAGGCAGGATCTAAAAAAGAAAAAAACGAATCGGTCGTCATGGTCACAGCTTCATGAATACAACTCTATAAATAGATCACAGCTTCTTCCTCCTCCTCGACGCCGCTGCACCTCACAGGGCCTCAGCACATTCACTGTGTTCGAGGAGCATCAGAGGAAACGGGGAAAAAGACCGGAAGGGATTTTATTCTCTCTCCTCCCACGTGAGTCCAAACGAGCAGCGGAGCGACGGACGCAACGTGACGTCTTCTCTTTGTGTGTCAGCAGCGTGTGGGGCGGGCGGGCGGGGGAGGAGATGAAGAACGTCTCCTCAGGCTCCAGGAAAAGATCCGACGCTTTCCTGTTTCTACTCAGTGTCCTCGTCGATAGAATCCATCGAAGTGTTTCAGTCGTGTGAGTCTCACTTTGATCATTCACTCGCAGAGACTTGCCCTGGGTCCTGTCTCTCAGGTAACAAGGAACAAGGAACAAAGGAAGGGAGGAAGGAAGGAGGGAAGGAAGTAAGGCTAACACTCACCTTGCCGGACTCCATCAGCGGCAGACTGTGAGGAGAACCTCGCTCCACTAACCGAACCCTGAAAGACAGAAATGTGCGGATATGAGATAATTGTGAGCGACGAAGAGTCACAGTCAGAGACGTGTGATGACGGACGGATCGTGGCACCTGTCGTGACGCAGCGCTCTCATGTCCACGTACACGGTGGTGGGGTCCGGCCCTGAAGTGCCCTGCAGCCAATCACAACACAGACACTGTGAACATGTGACCAAGAACCTGTGAACTCTAAACTTAAGATTCACATCGTGGAACAGAAACAGAAGAAAGGTTTTGAAATTACAGCGACTGACACAAAGACACCGGAACAACACCGGAACAAAAATAATTTGGATTTTGCCTCAAACGTTTATATAAAATGGAAAAATCTGATTTCATCTTGAACTCATCTGATGACAATAGAACCTCTGTTGTTTTACCTGCAGGCAGATGGCCAGGTTGACTCTGCAGCCGAAGGCCGTGCTGACGGATCGCGGGTGGAGGCCGAGGTCTTTGAACAGTTTGGAGAAGGAGTGCGTGAGCGACATCCTGGGCCGCTCCTCCGCCACCACCACACAGGCCCGAACCCGGGACAGATCCAGACCCCGAGCCTGGAGCAAACACACGTCCCGTCATTTCAGGGTTTCCTACAAATCCTTCACAAGCTTTGGTTTTCACCTTCTTAGTTTTATCGATGTGCCTTCGCTCTAAACTTGGACTTTGGACAAAGTTAAGAATTAAGTGAAGCTGGATTAAGTTGAACTGAAGGATCCAGAGAAGGTGTTGTGTGAAATAAAAACATGTGAGTGTCTAATAAAAAAACTCCAGTGAGTAAAGTACGTGTTGACTTGTCACTGTGTTCAGCTTCCAGTCTCCATGGAGACTTACAGACAGATAATCACTAAAATGAACTCCGCGACTCTGCGTCAGTGACCAATCAGAGGCGCCTGTAACTCCGGCTCTCAGACGTGGCCTCGGGCCGAGCAGACGGAGTTTATTAAAGCGGAGGAGGAGTGAGGTCGGTTACACGGAGGCCGAGGAGCCAGGTTCCAGGGGAGCGGAGAGATATTTCAGGACGGATGAGCGGTAACTTGTCCTGAAGCTGAAACTGTACAACAACACGGTGACGACACTCTCTCTCCTTCACGTGATTAATCTCTAGCCTCGCTTCATTTTTGTCAACAGAATGAAATAAAATCTTCCTGAAAAAAACGTCTCGTTGTTGAAAATCAGAAACTCGACACGTCGGCTGCGTCCGTGCTGACCTTGAGCGCCTCGGTCTGCAGGCCCAGTCCTTTGGTGCAGAGCTCCATGACGCTGTAGGAGCAGAAAGTGTCTCGCACCCTCAGCTGGCTGACGGCCAGCAGCCACAGCGCCGGGTTGGACTCCAGCTCCACCGGAGGGATCAGGATGGACTGGTGGCCCGAATACACACTGCAGACGACACGGATAAAGGTTCAGCATATTTTCCATTTCAGAAGAAGCAGTAATCTGTTATCTAAGAGCTGGAGGATCTATTAACCAGTTACACTCAGGAGACAGGATCCGCTGCTGTCTCATGATTACAGGCAATAACGTGAATATTTACTACGAGCAGTCAGTCAGATATTCTCACATCGCCGGTGATTTGCAGCCTGACTCGACTTTACGCGACAGCAGAAGATTTGCTGGCCGAGTTCAGAATTTACGAGCAGAGAATTCAAAAGAAACCAGAGTCGAGATCTGGAGCCAGAAGTGAAGATTTAAAGACGACAGTTTGAGACGCAGCGTGTCACAGATGAATGTTACCGCCGAGAATCTCTGCTCGTGTTATTTAAGGAGACCAGACGACTTCTGACATAAATCACAGCTTGAGTTCAACATGTAGTGAAAGTGTCCCGGCAGATGAAGCAGCGTTTCACTGGTGACTTTCAAAACCGAAGAACTAACGTTGTGTGGCCTAAAGTATGTGGACGTCTGCTGGTGACGCTTGGACTTTTTTATTTTTAAGAAATTCTGTGTGTCTGTTTTGAATGAACAGATAAAAAGAACACAACTCGTTGTATAAGTTCTTCTTTAAGTTGGAGTAAAATACATATTTAACGTTGTGTAGGTCGGTTTAGATGTTGCACCAACCTGCAGAGACACCAGAGGACGAAGCCCAGGCCGCAGTAAGGATCCAGACAAATGGCCACTTCTCTGGACGGGTACAACTCACACTGCAGCTTCACCGACCGGCAGAAGGCTCCAACGGCATTGTGGGACATCTGGAAAATCGTTGTGAGGACAGAGAGACACAACAACACAAACAAGGAACAGGACGGAAGGTTGGACAGTTAATACACGAGTTATTCAAACTGTTCATCAGGTTGTTGCTTAGTGTTGTTTTAAAACAGTTCCTCTAATTTAAAAATCCTTATTTATGACGATTATTAACACAAATCTGCAGATTTCTCCCTCATACTCTAGTAAACATGCGTCTCTGAGGGAAGCTGACTGGTTTTTCCTGTGCGCACTACACTGTGTGTTGTTCGCCGCGGCTCTGACGACTGATTTTCCCTGTGGAATTAAAACACGATGAATAAATGAAGTGAGGAGAGAAGCAGGTTCGGGCGACGGGACGAGAGGATCAACGCTGAGCTGACCTGAACTCCGGCCAACATGCCGGTCGTCGACACACTGAAGTCCAGATAGGCCAGGCCATCGGGGTTGGTGGGCTTATAGAGAGCTGGAGGCTTCTTCTTTGGCAGGTCATCTGCAGCGCGCACACACACACACACACACACACACACACACACACAC